AGCTCCTGCATTGAGCATCTGCCCCCTGGTGGTCAGTGTGTGTCATAGTGACCAGTCGCTCTGCTGTTAGGGTCAATTTTCATATTACCCTTTTATTATATAGGAGTGCCTGGCCATCCTGGGTGAGGGGCTGAGGGCCGTTTTCAGGCTGGCCACAGCCCCTTCAGGGTGGAGGGTCCTGTTGGGGTGCCTGGCCAGTCTGGATGAGGGACTGAGGGCCATTTTCAGGCTGGCTAAGTCCCCCAGCGGGGACCCTCATCCCATGAGGTGTGGACAGCTTGGGTGAGGGGCTGATGGCTGTTTTCAGTCTGGCCAAGCCCCCCAGCAGAAACCCTCACCCCATGAGGGTGTGGTAATCCTGGGTGAGGGGCTAATGGCTGTTTGCAGGCTGGCCACGGCCCCCAGCCACCCAAGCTCCCAGTGGAGGCTGGCTGGAAGTGGGTATCTGGGATTTATTTGTCGTCTATAATTGAAACTTTGTTGCCATGAGTAGAGGCCACAGCCGGCTCAGGGCAGGCAGGAAGCTTGGCTTCCTCCATCACCCAGGCAACCAAGCTTCCTGCTTGCTCCAGCTCTGTGTCTGCCAGCCACCATCTTGGATGGGTTAATTTGCATATAGTCGCTCTGATTGGCTGGTAGGCATGGCTTGGGTGTAGCGAAGGTATGGTCATTTAGCATCTTTGTCTTATATTAGTGTAAATAATATTATCTTCCTCCATATAAGGTTTACATTCTCCTTGGCTAGCAAACAAGGTATTAGCTGATCTATTAAACAATGAATAGGTTAACAATGAGATCAAAAGTTACCTAGAAACAAATGGAAATGAGAACACAACAACCCCAAATCTGTGGGACAGCAAAAACAGCAAAAAAGGGATATTTATAGCATTACTGGCCTACCTCAGGAAGCAAGAACTAGAAAAAGAAAACTAACAAAACCCAAAGTGAATAAAAGAAAGGAAATAAGAAAGATCAGAAATAAATGAAATAGTTTTAAAAAACAATGAAAGATCAATGAAACCAAGAGCTAGTTCTTTGAAAAGAGACAAGATTGACAGACCATTAACCAGACTCATCAAGAAAGAAAGAGAGGACCTAAATAAATAAAATTAGAAATAAAAGAGAAGTAACAACTGACAGCAAAGAAAAGTAAAAGATTGTAAGAAAGTACTATGAACAACAATATGCCAACAAATTGGATAACCTCAGAAGAAATGGATAAATTCTTAGAAATATTCAATCTTCCAAAATGTAATCAGGAAAAATCAGAGAATCTGAATAGACAGAGTACAAATAATGAAATTGAAGCACTAATGAAAAAAACTTTCAACAAATAAATGTCCTGAACCAGATGGCTTCACAGGTAAATTTTACGAAACATTCAAAGAACTAACTACTGTCCTTCTCAAACTATTTCAAAAAATTCAAGATGCCCTGACCGGTTTTGCTCAGTGGATAGAGCGTTGGCCTGCAGACTGAAGAGTCCCAGGTTCGATTCCAGTCAAGGGCATGTACCTTGGTTGTGGGCACATTCCCAGTGGGGGTTGTGCAGGAGGCAGCTGATGGATGTTTCTCTCTCATTGATGTTTCTAACTCTCTATCCCTTTCCCTTCCTCTCTGTAAAAAACCAATAAAATATATTTTTAAAAAAAATTCAAGAGGAAGGAAGACTTCCAAGCTCATCTTTCAAGGTCAGCATTATCCTAATTTCAAAACTATATAAAGATAATCCAAAGAATATTATAGGCCAATATTCCTGAGAAACATAGATGCTAAAATGCTCAAAAAATATTAGCATGTCTGATCCAGCAATACATTTAAAAGATCATACACCATGATCAAGTGGGATTTATTCTGGGAATGGAAGGTTGGTTCAATATTCACAAATCAATAAACATGATTCACCACATAAAAAATGAGAGATAAAAGCAATATTATTATATTAACTGATGCAGACAATGTATTTGATAAAATCCAGCACCCACTTATGAAAAAATTCAGTAAAATGGAAATAGAGGGAACATACCTCAATGTAATAAATGACAAGCTCACAGTCAATATCATACTCAATAAGCAAAAATATTTCTCTTAAGATCAGGTACAAGATAGGGATGTCTATTTTTAACACTCTTATTCAACATAGTATTGAAAGTCCTAGCCATAGCAATCAGACAAGAAGAAGAAATAAAAGGCATCCAGATTATTTGCAGACAACATGATATTGTACATACAATATCCTAAAGACTCAACCAAAAAGCTACTAGATATAATAAATGAATTCAGAAAAGTATCAGGATACAAGATTAA